AAAATCTATAGGCGGGTGAAGGCCTGAGTCTTCAACCTGTAGGTCGGGAGCCCAAATGTGGTTCTGCAATAAATACTGTAAATCAGTCGTCTCAAAGTACCGGCCCGCAAGCCGGTACTATGTGAGACGACTGGGGGTTTTTTCTCCCATGGGGGCGAGCGGCCCCAATGGGAGAAAAACCTTTGTCAAGTGGCCCTCGAGGGAATTGAGATTGAGACCCCTGCTGTAAATTATGATTATTAAAATAACTATTTTACAGGGTTGCTAATCACAAGCAAATTGACTTTTAGGATGCAGAAAACAGTCAGTAAATATCTGACGCCTTAATACTGGGAGCTTCTAATATAAAGCCATGCAGCCCCCAGGACAGTAACAACACAGGCATAGGAACCAACTGCACTGAGCTCTACAGCTCAATGTGATGGGACCAGCATTAGGACAAACTCTTCCAAAGTCAATATGTGGTAATGTAACCAGCACACCAAATCCTTTTAGGATAACAAAATCTTCATTTATTGAAGTTACTTGTCATTTAAACAAGTGCTTTCGGGACCGCACAGGGTCCCTTCATCAGGCTTAGCATTGTCAATGCTAAGCCTGATGAAGGGACCCTGTTTGTTTGTGGGCGCCATCCGCAGTCACTGCGAGAACCCCACTCATTACAAGGGACTTTCGGTAAGGAGTGGAACAAGGAAAAGTTTTTTGTCTTCCAAAAGTCAGTCTCATCGTTTCACATATATTTTCATTTCTGGAAAGAGATAAGGAAATGTCCGGATCAATATAAATGGTAGGAAAACGCGATGACTTATGTCCTCTCCATCTAAACTAACAAGAGAGCTCAGAACTCAAGAGCCATATTGAGCATCCTCAGCTGTAGGGAAGCCTCAGCTGTAGGGAAGCGTAGTTAAATGAATGCCATGTTTAATTAGTCTGTGCAGCTAGTTTTCTCTAATCTACCAATTAGCTCCCCCCAATCTTAAGATCAGGCTGAGACGTTTAAATACCAACCCTTCTCATCCAGGAATGACATGACAACCAGCACTTGGCAGTGCGATGAAAGCAGAGGGGGACTCAGTCAGTGGACAGCTCAGCACAACACGGCTTCCAAACAACACTTGTACTCAGTCTCAGGACCGTGGGGAGGCTGTGGCTGAAGTAATAAAGGATGTCACCAGCACACCAAGCTGTAATATTCAGCAATTGTCCATTTTAATGACAACCAATGTCATTCAATAGCAAGTACTTTCGGGGCCTCGCAGGGTCCCCGTCATCAGGCTGTGGCTGTGACACAGTGCCACTAATCCCCAGTGATTGGTAAAAGGAGGAGAAAATAGGAGATCGAGAGACAATCCTTAAGTTGGCCTCACATTATACGAATTTCAGTCGCTTCTTCGGGAACCAGACTAAATTTGCACAGTGGGTGCAACTGTTCTGGCCGGGATCCCTCGATCAGTTGACAGAAGGAGCTGGTTGGAAAATCTCCGAACTAAAAAAGCCAGCAGCCAATAAGGCTGGCAGCCGCTGTCAGAATACAAATGAAATAGGAGGGGATTCCTTAATCAACACTTGTAAGTTTTGATGGAGAAATCTGTTCTATTATTGTCATTCAGCCCGCGGATTGAAGCAAATAAAATAAAATAAAATGTATGGCCAGATTTATTCTCTACCACTATCCCCCTTTATATTATCCTTTGACCTAGTAACAACCCTGGACTCACTTCCTATTTCCTTTATACACTGCCTGTCCAAAACAAAGCCACCACCAAAAAATGAGGTCAGCCATCTACCTAAAATATTCTGAATGACCAGGTTGCTCCATCAATGGAATTTTTTCTTCCCTGATGGCACGGCATATTCCAAGATGACAATGCCAGGATTCATCGTGTTCAAGTTGTGTAGGACTCCATTAACCCCATTGAGAATCTTTGGGATGTGCTGGAAAAGACTTTATGCAGTGGTCTGACTCTCCCATCATCACTACAAGATCTTGGTGAAAGCTAAAGGTGGTCCAACAAAATATTAGAGTGTGCAAGTTTTTTTTATTGGCTAGGCAGTGTATGTTTCCCTTATCCTGGTAATGTTCTTATTCCTTCCACCTCCCATCTAACCCCGCAATTTCTTTGGTAATGCTTAAATGTGTCTTGTATGAAAAGAAATCCACATAGTCACAATATCACTATTCAACAAATATTTGTTTCACAGCCTCAGCACATGTAGACCATCAGTCACGGCAGATCTTTCTAAACTTAAAACAATTACATTTATATAAACATTTTCCAGCATTTTAGAAGAGGACTGCAAGAGGCTGATACCAACTCAGATTGAAAGTGGACAATGAAAGAGCCTTTTACTGTTCGCAAATACATTTCTAATTCCCAGGATCCTTTCGCTAGCTACAAACTTGCTAAGACAATTCTCCAACCTAGCGACAGCCCAAGTATCCTGAATTGACCTCCTTGTTAATAAATAATATGTTCCTCAGAATCCTGTAAATTATATGCTTACTACTCGAAGTGAGGTCACCTCCTGGCCTACATGTGCACCGATCCATCTACTGCTTACCACTCTGCATCCCGCACCCCAATCCACTGTGCCTGTTCACATGAGTTTCAGGTCCTGATCAGGTGCGGATAGGCAGACGCGGTGCTATGTGTTTTGCTGCGTTTTTGATGTGTTCCAGTACAAAAAAAAATGTTTTTTTTTTGCTGGAGTGGGGCTGTCAGTATGTTAGCTGCAGTGCGTTTTTGACGCGTTTTGCGTTTCCGGATCGTTTCCTAACCATACAAAATGTGACATGCAGTATTTTTCAGTCGTAACCTGAACGGACTGCGCACGTGAGAACTGTAGCCCATAAAACACATAGGGATACATTGTGATGCATTTTTAGTGCAGGAGCGTACGGATCAGGTCAGCACAGAAAACGGAAATCGTGTGAACAGGAACTTGATTAATTAATTTAAAATAATAAAGCTGTGTTGGCCAGTTAAGACTTGAAGCAGTTACTGAGTTGGGAAAAGTTCTATCCTTTCCCTACTATTCCTCTTTTCTACTTTTCTCCTTCTCTTCTTTTTTTTCCCCCCTCTTCTATTCTATTATATTTGGGTTCTTCATTTTAGATATTGGTTTTGGTCACTGATCCGCTTTACACATACCACCTGTATGTTTTTTCATCAATGTTATGTGGGTATGATTGTGCTTTACTTATTGATGCCACTTTACTACCATTGACCATATTCATAAGTGCCATGTGATCTCATTGGATATATTTTCCTTGTTATGAGCTATAATGCTGTTTGGTTTTTTATTGGCTGTTAAACCTCTTTTAAAATAAAATATTAAAATCAAATAAAAGAGCCACACACAGCTCGAATTTTGACGTTCAAGCAGTGTAAGGCTAGCTTTAAGGCTCCCACAGGTGAGTAGTGCAGTGGGGAAACTGGGGTGGGTGGGGAAGACCTATCAAGAGAACCTGTCATTGACCTGAACTGACAAAGTGGCAGATTCACTTTAACTATGCTGGGAAAGACGAGGAAGGTTGTTTGCCTCCCGTGTGATCTTTCTGTTAATCAGGTCTATTTTAGAGCAACATCTGATGAACGAGCCTGCAGAATGTTTAGTGACATTAAGTGGTAAATAATATGAAATACTAATTTCTGCATGTCCTATATACACATTAGTGACATTTTTTTTTTTAGATAAAGACAATAAAAGCAGTTATTGAAAGCGCTAAACATTCACTAGTATTCTTTCAAACTTGAATATAAAGTTTTGCCCTGTTTGGAATGCATTGTGAAAAGTAGAGCAGAGGGAGTTGTATTTAGGCATTTTTCTTACATAATGCTCCCAGTAACGTCCAGAATGTGGCAGGTTACTGAGAGATTACACATCAGCCATGGGACCAGCTCCTAAAGCAGCCAAAACATTGATCAGTCTAAAAGAATCCAAAAATGCTTCCAAGAGAAAAAAAAGAAAAAATTGAAGAATAGAATGTGCAACCTCTGAAGTGGGAGTGGTGACATGACAAGAGGAGAAATATGGGGGAGAGGAGAACAGAAAAGGACAGCAGCAGGGACAGCGATATGCTGAGGAAATTAAGATACAGGGTCTAGAAGAGTTAGAAGGGAGACAGAAGGAAAGAGATTGTGAGTGGAAAAATAGCAAGGGTGAGAGGGTAAAAGGGGGAGAGAGAGAGAGAGAAGGAGAGAGAGAGAGAGAAGGAGAGAGAGAGAGAGAAGGAGAGAGAGAGAGAGAAGGAGAGAGAGAGAGAGAAGGAGAGAGAGAGAGAGAAGGAGAGAGAGAGAGAGAAGGAGAGAGAGAGAGAGAAGGAGAGAGAGAGAGAGAAGGAGAGAGAGAGAGAGAAGGAGAGAGAGAGAGAGAAGGAGAGAGAGAGAGAGAAGGAGAGAGAGAGAGAGAAGGAGAGAGAGAGAGAGAAGGAGAGAGAGAGAGAGAAGGAGAGAGAGAGAGAGAAGGAGAGAGAGAGAGAGAAGGAGAGAGAGAGAGAGAAGGAGAGAGAGAGAGAGAAGGAGAGAGAGAGAGAGAAGGAGAGAGAGAGAGAGAAGGAGAGAGAGAGAGAGAAGGAGAGAGAGAGAGAGAAGGAGAGAGAGAGAGAGAAGGAGAGAGAGAGAGAGAAGGAGAGAGAGAGAGAGAAGGAGAGAGAGAGAGAGAAGGAGAGAGAGAGGAGGGAGAGAGAGAGAGAGAGGAGGGGGAGAGAGAAAGAAAAATAATACACAGAGAAGAGATAATGACTTGTGCAGTGGAGGGAGGACATGATCACACACTTTAAATACTTCCTAATATAGTTGTATCACATGTCGAGTGGATGTTTTGGGCTCTACAGATACCCTCTGAGACACTACCCTCTGAGACACTTCCCATAACTGTGACTGTAACATCTACAGTAACAACAACAATAACACTCAAAGACTAACTCCCAACACCCGTCTCCACTAAAAATCTATCATGATTTACACTATAGAGAGCTTGAAAACTGAGACACTAACCTGATTATCCTCCTGGACCACCCGGTACTGCTCCTTCCACACGGAGATCTTTGACACCTCATCCTTGCGTAATGCCCGTTCCTTCTTCAGCTCTGGACTCCAAAAAGTCTTGATGCTGTTCATGGACGAACTCAACTTGCTTTCTTTCACGTCCACGTCCTTTCGGAGAAGGTCATTTTCCCTTAGAACCTCTTTTAGTTGGGTTTGAAGGTCCATAATGGTGTTGTCCCTGGCTTGGCGCAGAGAATGGGGAACGGTTGATGCCATGCTGACTGGCGGAATCTGGTGATCTCCAAAGGCAATGGCATCACTGGACACCCCACTGGTGGCAATGTTCGGGCTGCTTCCCATGGCTGTCATCCTCACCCCGTAGGGCAGCCTGCCCCCAGAACGGCCCAGGGTCATGGTGCTCTTCGGCGTTTCTACCCCCACATTTTCATGGTCACTGAGATACATGGGAGAGGCAGTGGCGTACGCCGCATTCAGAGACTGGATATTTTCCATGGACAAGGTTTTACTGCTGCCTCCACCAGGGACACCGCCAGAGCTGCCACCGGTGCTGTTAGTACGACGATGGCCCAGGCGTGGCGAACGGGGAAGCCGTGGGGAGCGTCCAGGGCTTTGGCTGCTGGATTCCAGCTTCCCGACAGAACGAGAACTTCCATACATGGCTCTGAGAGGCGATGGGGACAGCTAGCTTCTGAAATTGGAGGGAGGAATGGCCACTTGTGAGGATTTTTTTGGCAGGTAGTGTAAGATGATCAGCAGTTCATGAATATAGATGAATTTCCCATGTTTGAAAGACGCACAAATTCTGTGACCTGCAGAGAAAGTATGGAGAACAGTTACACTACACAGAACGTGAACATGGCCTTCAAAGGCAACGTAACCCAAAACAAATAGTAGTTGGACATGCTTGATGGCCAGAAGAGTCACACTTGGATTCTGATGTCTCTTGGGGACCCCAGTTGTGAAATAAAGTGCATGTCTCGGCATAATTGAACAAAGAAAATAAAACCCATTCAGTACATCTCTGCAATTCATGAACATTTTTCCATGTTTTCAAAGTACAGAAAAATACCTGGCGATCCTGCCAGAATCTCCTCACTTCCTCTAGTTGGCTGACATACCTGCCTCTGCTGCACTGAAATCCCAGTGTTGTTAATCCCTAGTAAGCTACAGAACACCTTTTCTCTATGGAGTTATGGCATGGAGAAGGTGAGGTCTGTAGTCTGGCAAGAAGAAAAGGGCCGGCTGACAGCACTGCTGGGGATTTCAATGCAGCAGAGGCACTGCGTCGTCGGCTTAACTCCAGGATAATACATCTTGTCTAAATACAAGATGTATGTGTATTCTTATGTGAATCTTTGTGTATATTTTCCAGGTCTGTGCAGTAATACAACACAAAACTTTGCAGGAGCTTCTGGTCCTAATAAAGATCAGTCAGTGCTGCTCTCTCTCCTTGTGCAGGGTGACTGGTCTTGTCTCCACCCATTCCTGTAGTTTTCTGCAGGCAGCCTGTAGTGGGTGGAGTCTGATGGGCCCCTCCCACGGCTCTGCTCTCTGCAGAGGCTATGTTCAGCCCAGTGACAAAGTCACAGCTGTGTTTCTAAGGGTTTCTAAGGTAAAAACCTGGTTTGCAAAGGCATTTGGTGCACACAACATGGAGATATATATATACATATATACATACAGTATATGCTTTGTGACTGCTGGATATGTTTATAGTATACATATTTGAATGAAAGTTTTGATGCCTGGAGTTCAGCTCTTAATTTTTGGCACGTTAACGCATATTTTTCTGTAGTTGCTTCATTTTTTGTTTGTTTTTGCAGCAAAGTTATATGTGCAACATATGGCTTTCAATTTCTCTTTCCCAAATGCTTGCTCTCCGCCACCTTCCAGTTTTTGGAAATGGCAGTTGCTTCTAATACACGGATTTCAGCTTAGGAAGTAATATGATTGTGTTGCAAAAAGTCTTCTCAGCTGAGAAAGCATATTGTCAGCCCTTGTTAATCCAACAGAAAATGTCCAGGATGCTGCAGTTACTATAGCAACCCGCGGCAACCATCAACCGCTGAACATTAACTCATTTAATGGATGCTGAATTAAAGAGACGACACAATGGGGACGACAGAGGGGGGGAACATAGCGCAACTTAAAGTGAATGCTGCAAAGCAGCCAATCAAAATCCAGCTGACATTTGCCCACTGCAGGTCAGAAATGTAAGATCTAATTGCTTTCTGGGGGTAAAATCGTTCCCCTTCCCTAAAGTCAAAGTCTCATGCTTCAAATCCTGCCGCAATTACTGTGTTTAGACAAATGACCTAATCTCCAAAGTCAAACAACCAGAAAAAAAAAAAAAAATGGTATCTGGGTCAACAAAGCTCAACTCCAGCCAAAACTATGTTCTTTAATATCCTGTACGAGTGTCCCAGGGATGGGAAGCGAGGTAAAATCTCCCCAATGGGGACACAGAAAACATAAAAACCTAACAAACTTTAAGGCCTTGTTCAAACCGGATGGTGTGTTCTGGTGTGATTCTGGCCAGAACGCACTGCACCGCATTGCTTGCAGCATTTTGATCAGATTGGACCGGACCGCAGACATAATGTGCCTTGCGATCCGGTGCGGCCGAACGCATTGCGGCCAGAGGGCGTGGCTAAAGTGCCATTCACTTCAATGGACCGCCACACCTCCTCCTGCCCCGCAACATAGTGAGCCGGCTGCAATGCAGTGCGTTCTGGCCAGAATCGGGCCGGAACGCACTGCATCTGGTGTGAACGAGCCCTAAAGCTAAAGTTAAATCTGCCTGTATTTTGCCTTCTCTGCCCCCCCTCCCCAAGACAACATTACTGGGTCTATGTGCTTATCTTTGCAATGTAGACAGAACATGGTTGGTAGGTCGCTGTACATGGCTTCCTCAAAACACCCAATCAGCTGATAGCTCCATTTGGGTATTCTGACAGCAGCCGGCTGTCGCTGTCAGAATACAATAGAAACAGCAGGGGATTCCTCCATCAACACATAAGCGTTCACGGAGGAATCTGTTCTATTTTTTCATTCAGCACGTGGGTTGGCCGAAAGAAAATAAACACGTGTATACCCAACTTTAGAAGTATCCAATGCACAGTTTCTCCCTTCCCACCCGAGAGCAGGTTTTAGCGTTTCTAAAATTGCTTTGGTGCTGTTACATTTTTTCACCTTCCAACATTCTGAGATGCAGAAGAGACACATATAAAGTGTTTTTCCACTTTTGTAGCTGAAATGGGATAACACCTATTTAATATTTGTTACATGTCCTCATTCACATAACATAAAAATGATTCAAGATTGCGGCTTACCATTCAACTTGTGTTTCTGAAAGAAAAGTTCTTCTCTAAACTGAATTTTTCACTGGAGAGTAAGAGAAGTGGGGAGGGTAATGTGCATCATATATAACCCCGTCTGTACTGTGCTGGCAAATCTCATTAGCAGTTGTAAACTAGATTTGAACACTGTCCACATAAAGGGTTAAATATCTAGAAGCATTGTATGTAAATGAGAGGAAGCTCCCAGTGTCCCTAGTCTTTCTATGGGGACAGAGTTTCCTGTCACTTTGAAAAAGAGAGACGCTTACAAAGGTCGGCTACTAGATATGAACAATGTCACTTCTAACAAAGGGGTTAAAGATCTAGCAGCCTTATATGTTAAAGAGGACTTTTACCCTCAAAAATCACATTCTACCAATGCATCCCTCTATCATGATTAATAATAACATAGACATGTCAGGTGTAAAATGCTGTGATTGGAAACACTTGCACTTGAAGAGCATTCACTTCCTGCTTTGAAAGGGCAAAATGACTTCAGTGTGCCAAAGCAATGCATACTGGGATTGCCCTGTCATTGCCTTGACGAGCTTTGCTGGGAAATCTCATGTGTAATCTCAGGAGATCTCAGGGAAAGGCATTTACCTCCCCTGAGATGATGTACATGGTCACGTCCTTGTCACATGTGCCAGAGTTCTAGGAAGTAAAAGGGGAGAGCTAGTAACCTGCCCTTAGTAAACATGGCCACTGTCAGAAGACTGGGGAAGAAAAGAGAAACAAGGAATGCAAAGAATACAAAGCCGGCAATTATCTAGCTTTATGTGTTTGTAGATTGGCATCACTAAACATTTCTAAAAGGTGTGTTTGTTGTTATTTTAAAGATATGGGTAAAGGTCCACTTTAAGGAGAGGAAACTCAGAGTTTCCCTAGTCTTTCTATGGGGACACACAGAGTTTCCCCGTCACTTTGAAATTGTACAGAGAAGCTTGCAGTCTGTCCAAGACCTGCTCAACAGAGACAACTAAAAGGTCAGAAATGATTTACATATTTTTCAGTATGAACGGTGAATAGGAATACATAAAAAAACATATAGTGGGGGTTTTAGCAAATATGACTGCAAAAGTGGAAATACACTTTAGGCACAACATGTATTATCAGAGAACACACCTCCAGTACCCAGACCATGAAGAATGAATGGGCGAGAATTTGTTAAACCAAACAATACTATTTTCAACAGTACTTCACCTTTCACGTTTTCTGCATTGCGGTAAAGCACAGTAAAAAACACAAATTTTACTGTGCATCACTGCAAAGCATGGTAAGGTGAGAACCACATTGTGGTGCTATTAGTTGTTTTGAATGGCACCCCAACTATTACAGTAGCAGGTAATGCACCCCAACTGCAGCAAACCACAATGTACTGTGGTGCACTTTGGCTTAAAAAAAAAAATACATCTGTTTTTTTTAATGCATTAAAGGGAAATTCCCCCTTTTCGAAAAAATAAAATAAAAAGCACACTACTTCTTTTTTTAAAACTTTTTTAATTTTTAAATGTACATTTATTATTTATTTTTATTTTTTTTGCATTGGAGCCAGTAAAGTATTGCAACAACAACCAGTGGATCGCAGATTCAATACTGCAGATTCTTCCTTCGGTCCATGTCCGTACCAAGGTTTGCGATGTGACCATGTTTCATGTTACACCCTAAATATGGTTGCAACATGAAACATGGTCAGAAAGGTAAACTAAGCCTTTAAGCTGCATTACAAGCCCACAACACGCCTTAAAGAGGAACTTGACCCATATCATTGAAATGACAACAAATACACCTTTAGAAATGTTTAGTAATGACAATCTACAAACAGATACTTCTAGATTATTTCCAGCTCTTTATTCTTTCCATACCTTATTTTTCTTTTCCTCCCATTCCCTTCTCACAGTGGCCATTTTTACTAGATTAACATATCTCCCTTTACTTTCTGGAACTCTGGCATTTGTGACTAGGACATGTGACCAAGCAAAGGCAAAATGCCTTTCCCTTATTCCTTATGAGATTACAGATGAGCAATCTGATGTAACCTTGCCAGGATGCAACGCTTGGGCACAGATTACATCACTAATGCCAATGGGGACCAGGAAGTGGAAAAACAATAATTGTAAGTAAAAGTAAAATATGTTTGTTTAACTTATGAATGTAAGATGATTTCATATCAGTATGCAGAGCTGCATGCTGCTGTGATTCATAGTGAAAGGGGGGAAAGGCCCGCTTTATTGTATGTTAATGCAACCTAAAGACTTATAAGGCCCACATACTAGAGCTACACAAATTAATTTGACGCAATGCAGTATTAGTTTTATTTATTTGTAGTATGTGCGATTTGGCAATGCTAACTTGGGACTGTACCGATTCAAGTGAAGAGTGACAGGTTCACTTGAAACAATAGGCTAAACTTAGTAAAGAGCTCTCCCATGACGAAATGGCCTTACCGCTTTTTTCATACAGCTATTTCT